TTTTAAACTATATTTTTTTAAAAAAAATCATCTACAATAAAATGTGCTTCAGTTTTCATCTAAAATAGAATAACTCAGGAATGTTGCCTAAGTCAGGAATGTTGTTTGAGTTAAATGAGTAAGTTAATACATGTAAACTACTTATAAAACTGGCACATTGTATAAGTACTCAATAAATGTCAGACATTTAATACTATTGCTACTGTTGCTGCTGCTGCTACTATTACCAGTATTAGAAAGCATTTCAAATGAGAGAAGTAGTGTTAAACTAGGAGCTGGCTAAGCAAGCAGCTACCAAGCCTTGGACCAGTCCCTCCAACTTACCGCTTACTGAATCACCAAAATCCAGAGCTGCAGCGATAGCACCCACCTGACCACAAGTAAACTGCTCTATGAACTCAACAGGCAGATATGGAACTGCTGCTAATTTTTCCACCCCTGCTCCCTGCCATCACATTTATGCTTAATATTCCTTTTTCAAGCTTAAAAGTCTTCTAAAAAGTGAACTCTAAATTATCCAGAATAGGTAAATCTATAGAGACAGAAAGTAGATTAGTGACTGCCTAAGACTGGGGTCAGGGTAAAGGAAAATGATTATTAATGAATTCTAGGGTTTCTGATGGAAGTAATGACAATGTTCCAAAATTGACTGTGTTTGCACAACTCTGAATACATTAAAAACCACTGATTTGTACACTTTAAATAAATGAATTGCACAGTATATATCACAATAAAGCTGTATTCTGATTTTTTAAGAAAGTGAATTGTGAAAGAAAAGTGTTTGAAAGGAGCAGTGTCATGCACTTTGGGAGGCTGAGGTGGGGGGGTATCACTTGAGGTCAGGAGTTCAAGACCTGCCTGCCAACACAGTGAAACCCCATCTCTACTAAAAACACACACACACGCACACACACCAAAAAAACGCCAGTGTGGTGGTGGTTGCCTGTAATCCCAGCTAGCTACTCAAGAGGCTGAGGCAGGAGAATAGATTGAACCCAGGAGGTGGAGATTGCCGTGAGCTGAGATTGCACCACTGCACTCCAGCCTGGGCAACAGAGCAAGATTGTGTCTCAAAAAATTAAAAAGAAGCACTATCTGTAAAACTAGATCTTATCCACTAAGATATTACTATACACATTTTTTTTTTTTTTTTTGAGACGGAGTCATGCTCTGTCGCCCAGGCTGGAGTGCAGTGGCCGGATCTCAGCTCACTGCAAGCTCCGCCTCCCGGGTTCACGCCATTCTCCTGCCTCAGCCTCCCAAGTAGCTGGGACTACAGGCGCCCGCCACCTCGCCCAGCTAGTTTTTTGTATTTTTTAGTAGAGACGGGGTTTCACCGTGTTAGCCAGGATGGTCTCGATCTCCTGACCTCGTGATCCGCCCGTCTCGGCCTCCCAAAGTGCTGGGATTACAGGCTTGAGCCACCGCGCCCGGCACACATTTTTTAAAGTAGTAAAACGTAGAGAATAAAACAATGTCTCTTTAAAGATAGAACTCCAAAGAGAAAATATTATTTTTATAATAAAGTAAAACCTGTTTAAAATATAAAAGGCTGAAATTTTGGCATTAATTTATGTATTATAAGATATAATTATTAATATGTGAAAGCACATAAAATGCCTAATCTGTATATTAATAATGAAAAATTCACAAGAAATTCGTTGCAGGAAGAGACATTTGTTGACTTAAAAACACAATAAGGGCCTGGTGCAGTGGCTCACACCTATAATCCCAGCACTTTGGAAGGCCGAGGCAGGTGGGTCACCTGAGGTCAGGAGTTCAAGACCAGCCTGGCCAGCATGGCAAAACCCCATTTCTACTGAAAATAACAAAAATTAGCTGGGCATGGTGGCAGGCGCCTGTAATCCTAGTGACTCAAGAGGCTGAGGCAGGAGCATCACTTGAACCCAGGAGGTGCAGGTTGCAGTGAGCCGAGATTGCGCCATTCACTGCACTCCAGCCTGGGCAACAAGAGCAAAACTCCATCTCAAAACAAAACACACATTAAGGCTGGGCACAGTGGCTCATGCCTGTAATCCCAGCACTTTGGGAGGCCAAGGCAGGTGAATCACCTGAGGTCAGGAGTTCAAGACCAGCCTGGCCAACAGGGGGAAACCCTGTCTCTACTGAAAATACAAAAATTAGCTGGGTGTGATGGCACATGTCTGTAGTCCCATCTACTCGAGAAGCTGAGGCAGGATAATCGCTTGAACCTGGGAGGCGGAGGGTACAGTGAGCTGAGATTGCACCACTGCATTCCAGCCTAGGCGACGGAGTGAGACTCTATCTCAACAAAACAAGCAAACAACAACAACAAAAAGCCACACATTAAATATAGCTGGGTGCAGTGGCTCACGCCTGTAATCCTAGGACTTTGGGAGGCTGAGGTGGGCAGACTGTCTGAGCTCCAGAGTTTGGGACTAGCCTGGCCAACATGCCAAAATCCTGTCTCTACTAAAACTACAAAAAAAAAAAAAAAAAAAAAAAAAAAAATTAGCTGGGTGTGGTGGCGCAGGCCTGTAGTCCCAGCTACTTGGGAGGCTGAGGCATGAGAATCACTTGAACTGGGAGGCGGCAGAGGATGCAATGAGCCAAGAAGATCGTGCCACTGCATTCCAGCCTGGGCAACAGAGCAAGGCTTCATCTCAAAAAACAAACACACAAAAAACCCCAAAACTCCCACACATTAAAGAAATATGTCAATGATGTTAAAATAATGCATGGGGGGAAAAAGACATGAAGGGAAATATTTAAATGTCCACTATGTCTAAATAACCCTTTCCTACTACAACAAACCAGGGGTTCCATGGGAGACTGATTGACTACAGAACTAATAGGGAAAATACAAGATGAATCTGGAAGCATCTTATTGTGCGAGAAAGTAAAGTATCACCAAAATTATAAGGACATATCAGAAAGAATCAAAAGTGTCTGAAAGGGTGGCCACTTGCCAAATCTGGGATAATTTGAGCATCAAAATTAGTAGCAGAAACAGACTGTACATAACTCACTGAATTTTAAAAGAATCCTTAGCCAGGTGCGGTGGTTCACGCATGTAATCCCAACACTTTGAGAAGCCAAGGCAGGAGGATCACTTGAGTCCAGGAGTTCAACACCAGCCTGGTCAACATAGGGAGATCCCCATCTCTTTTTAAAAGAAAAATTTTTTTTCTGTTTTTTGAGATGGAGTCTCGCTCTGTTGCCCAGGCTGGTGTGCAGTGGTGCAATCTCAGTTCACTGCAACCTCTGCCTCCCAGGTTCAGGCAATTCTCCTGCCTCAGCCTCCCGAGTAGCCAGGACTACAGGCGCACGCCACCACACCTGGCTAATTTTTTGTATTTTAGTAGAGCATGGTTTCACCATGTTGCCCAGGCTGGTTGCCAACTCCTGAGCTCTGGCAATCCTCCCGCCTCAGCCTCTCAAAGTTTTGGGATTACAGGTGTAAGACACTGCACCCGGCCAAAAAATTTTTAAAAATTAGTTGGGCATGGTGGTACCCACCTATGGTCCCAGCTCCTTAGGAGGCTGAGGTGGGAGGATCTGCTTGAGCCTGGGAGTTCAAGGCTGCAGTGAGCTGTGATCGCACCACTGCAGTTCAGCCTGGGTGACAGAGCAAGATCTGTCTCAAGAAACAAAAACAAAAACAAAATCTCTGAGTTTGATATAAATAAAGAAATAGGCTGGGCGCGGTGGCTCAAGCCTGTAATCCAAGCACTTTGGGAGGCCGAGACGGGTGGATCACGAGGTCAGGAGATCGACACCATCCTGGCTAACACGGTGAAACCCCGTCTCTACTAAAAAAAAAATGCAAAAAACTACCCGGGTGAGGTGGTGGGCGCCTGTAGTCTCAGCTACTCAGGAGGCTGAGGCCGGAGAATGGCGTGAACCCGGGAGGCGGAGCTTGCAGTGAGCTGAGATCGGGCCACTGCACTCCAGCCTGGGCGACAGAGTGAGACTCCGTCTCAAAAAATAAATAAATAAATAAATAAATAAATAAATAAATAAAGGGAAGAAGAAGAGCTCTTTCTTATAGTAGCATGCCCAACTAATAAATGAAAAAAGTATGGAAGAGTTACAAAATCACCATTTTACAATCATCATAGTAAACGATTCAAGCAAGAATCATTAATGGATGCTAAAACTTCTGGGTGAAAGCTTGATGGAAAACAGGATTATTTTCAGTCTCACAGTATCTCCCTACAAACTACTTATAAATTACAAAGGAAAAAAACATTAACTTTATAGTGGAAAAACCTGGCAGCCACCTCTAAACTAGGTGACCCAAGTTAACTTAACCAACAAGGGACAAAGTGATATCACGGACTTCCTGATTTGATACACTGAGGACACAATACCATTTCTGTAATGGCACAGCAAAAATATGCATTATCTGAGTTTAATCACAAATAAACCAATCAAATTAATCCAATATAACAGTTCTACAAAATTAGCCTATACCCTACAAAAATGTCTGTTAGGAAAAAACAAATGCTGAGGATCTGTTTCAGATTAAAGAAGAATGAAGAAATATGACAACAAAATACAGTATGATTCTGTATTGGATCCAGGATTGGAGAAAATTGCTATAAAAGAATTACCAGAAATCAACTGACAAAATCTGAAACATGGACTGTATATTAGAAGATAGTACTGTATCAGGCCAGGCATGGTAGGTAGCTCATGCCTGTAATCCCAGCACTTTGGGAGGCCAAGGTGGGTGATCACTTGAGGTCAGGAGATTGAGACCAACCTGACCAAGATGGTGAAACCTTGTCTCTACTAAAAATACAAAAGTTAGCTGGATGTGGTGGCGGGCGTCCGTAAGCTCAGCTACTTGGGAGGCTGAGGCAAGAGAATCATCTGAACCCAGGAAGCGGAGGTTGCAGTGAGTTGAGATAGCACCACTGCACTCCAGCCTGGGCAACAATGCGAGACTCTATATCAACGTTAAATTTCCTGAACTTTTACAACTCTTCCATGATTATTAACTTTACTTTTAGGAAATACATACTGAAGAGAAATGAGGGGTAAAGGATCAGGATATATCTGCAACCTACTCTCAAATGATTCAAGAAGAAGAAGAAGAAGAGACAATGATTAAAGCAAATGTAGCTAAATGGCAACTGGTGAATCCAGGTAAAAAAATATACAGAGATCACTGTACTATTCTTGCAACTTTCTGCAAATGTGAAATGTTTTCAAAATTTTTTAAAAAGTAACTATTTCAATGATGTAATCAAAGTATAGGAAATTAAAGAGCAGTGTTAAATATACTGGGACATATCTTTATTTTGTTTTTGTTTTTTTTGATACAGTCTCGCTCTGTCGCACAGGCTGGAGTGCAGTGGCGAGATCTCGGTTCACTGCAATCTCTGCCTCCCGGGTTGAAGTGTTTCTCTTGCCTCAGCCTCCCGAGTAGCCGGGACTACAGGCGTGTGCCACCACGCCTGGCTAATTTTAGTATTTTTAATAGAGACGGGGTTTCACCATGTTAGCCAGGCCGGTCTGGAACTCCTGACCTCAGGCAATCTGCCCACCTTGGCCTCCCACAGTGTTGGGATTACAGGCATGAGCCACTGCACCCGGCCTGGGACATATCTTTAAAGTTCCTTCTAAAAAATAAACTTCAGGGCAGGTACAGTGGTTCATGGCTGTAGTCCCAGCTCTTTGGGAGGTGCAAGTGGGAGGATCACTTGAGTCCAGGAGTTCAAGACCAGCCTGGGCAATACAGGAAGACCCAATCTCTACAAAAAAAAAGAAAAAAGAAAAAACCAGGCATGGTGGTGTGTGCCTGTAGTCCCAGCTACTCAGAGGCTCAGGTGGGAGGACTGCTTATGCCCAGGAGGTTCACACTACTGCACTCCAGCCTGCATGACAGAGTGAGACCCTATCTCGAAAATAAATAAATAAATAATAAATAAACAAACTTCTCTCAACTGCTTATTTAATCACAGAACAACAACTTAAGTTTTCTATTACAGCTTTAGGGGAATACATGCTACTAGAAGTAATTTAGCAAAATGGTAGGCAGAAAAAAGTAGTAGTTATGATTATGGGCTCTGGAGTCAGATTGCCTAAAGTCTACACTCCAGCCATTTGTATGTTCATAAACAATTATCCAATTCCATCAATATACAAAGTAGCAAATAATAATACCATTATTAATACTGTTGTGAGAATTAAATAATGCATTTATAGCACTAAATGGTAGGTATTAAAATGACCGGTGTCTCAATGTAAAAAAAAAACACCGTTATAACATATATTTTAAGATAAACCACATAAAAAATAAGAGCAAAGAAAATAAAACTTGATTTCCTCAAAGAAAAATAATGAAATTTTTTTTCCATACTAATTTGGCAAACATTTTACTAAGTTACTTACTCATCCCCAAAGAGTTGATGGGTATACTCAGGAAAGAAAGTTCTAATGTCATTTTCAAGATCTTCAGGAAAACGAACTGTTTAAAGGGACAAAAAATAGAGATATTAAAGACATTAAAGATATTGAAGGTGACAGGTATTTCTATTTCATGAATTTCAGTATAACTAGGATACAGCCAACATTTTTCTTACTCAAAGTGTCACTTCTCCATTATGTGATTTATTTACACTGTATTCTCAAGAGACTAATGAACAATGAAAATTAAAATATTACTTTGAGTGCTTACTTATTCTAAGAATTAGAAGGCGAGGTATGACAGAGGCACGTGATTTATTTTTATTTTTCCATATGTTTATGCACAATGCAAAGAGTAAAGGAAAAACAAAAAGACACTTTGAGATAAGAAAAGTTACAGCAAATGAAAACAGGATGCTGTAAGAAACATTCTGATAATAACAATAACCTGAGTTTGATGAAGTCATTCTTTTTGACTACTAGATGACATTTATGTTGTTCTCATGTTTGTTTTTTGCTATTAAAAAGTAATACTGCAATGACATCTTTATATATATCCTGCTGTACTTTTATAAGTATACACAGGGGAAATTCCTGGCAGTAAAAAACTAGGGGGAGAGTACCAAAATATTTGTATAAATATTGCTATATAAATATTGCTAAAGTGGCCAGGTGCAGTGGCTCATGCCTGTAATCCCAGCACTTTGGGAGGCCAAGGCAGGCGGATCACCTGAGGTCAGGAGTTCACACCCAGCCTGGCTGACATGGTGAAACCGTCTCTACTAAAAATACAACAATTAGGCTAGGCACAGTGGCTCATGCCTGTAATCCCAACACATTGGGAGGCCGAGATGGGCAGATTACCTGAGGTTAGGAGTTCAATACCAGCCTGGCCAACATGGTGAAACCCCATCTCTACTAAAAATACAAAAATTAGCCAGGCATGGTGGCACACACCTGTAATCCCAGCTACTTGGGAGGTTGAGGCAGAAGAATTGCTTGACCCCAGGAGGCGGAGGTTGCAGTGAGCTGAGATCCTGCCACTGCACTCCAGCCTGGCCAACAGAGTGAGACCTTCTCTCTCTCTTAAAAAAAAAAAAAAAAAAAAAATTGGCTGGCTGTGGTGGCGCATGCCTGTAGACCCAGCTACTTGGGGGGCTGAGGCAGGAGAATCACTTAAATCCAGGAGGTAGAGATTGCGGTGAGCCAAGATCATGCCGCTGCACTCCAGCCTGGGCGACAGAGACTGTCTCAAAAAAAAAAAAAATAAATAAATTATATATATAGCTAAAGTGCCCTATAAAAATATTGTAACAGTTTATATACCCACAAGCAGTTTATATACCCATAGTTTGTAAACTCCTTTGTTCCCTACATCCTTGAAAGCACTCTGCTGTACTCAAGGATACTCTGTACCCTCAACTTTAATTTCTATCAATCTAAGATGGAATGGGTATCCTTTTGTTATTTTTATTTGTATTTGTTGTGAGTACTGAAATACTGGACATTTTCCTGATAAAATTTATCTTATGAAGAAAATTTTATTCATTAAAAAAATTTTTTTTTTTTTTTTTTGAGACGGAGTCTCACTCTGTCACCCAGGCTGGAGTCAGCTCACTGCAAGCTCTGCCTCCCGGGTTCATGCTATTCTCCTGCCTCAGCCTCCCAAGTAGCTGGGACCACAGGCGCCCACCAACTCGCCCAGCTAGTTTTTTGTATTTTTTAGTAGAGACGGAGTTTCACCGTGTTAGCCAGGATGGTCTCCATCTCCTGACCTCGTGATCCGCCCACCTCGGCCTCCCAAAGTGCTGGGATTACAGGCTTGAGCCACCGCGCCAGGCTGAACAATTCTTAAGCAATTGAAGAATGAAAAGATAAATTGCAGGGCTGGGCGCAGTGGCTCACACCTGTAATCCCAGCACTTTGGGAGGCTGAGGCAGGCAGACCACTTGAGGTCAGGAGTTCAAGACCAGCCTAACCAACATGGTGAAACCCCGTCTCTGCTAAAATATAAAAATTAGCCAGGCATGGTGGTGGGTCCCTATAATCCCAACTACTCTGGAGGCTGAAGCATGAGAATCGCTTGAGCCTGGGAGGAGGAGGTTGCATTGAGCTGAGATTGCACCACTGCACTCCAGCCTGGGCGACCAAGAGAGACTCTGTCTCGGGGGGTTGGGGGGGAGGGGAAGATAAATTGTAGATGAAAAATTTCTAACACTGTCCTCACAGACCAGGTCATTCCCTGCATGCCAAAGTATCACCAGCAGATTACTAATTTACAGAAGAAAAGGTATATTTTCACTGTAGAGATCTGGTAGTCACCTACTTTCCAAATGATCTAACTTAGCATCATTCATTGTGGGACAGAACATTATGTGCCTCCTGATTCAATGCAATATGAAGTACAGTCATCCCTCAGTATACTCAAGAGACTGGCTCCAGGACCCCTGACTGTACCAAAATCCATGATACTCAAGTCCTGTAGTTCTGTCTGGTGTCCCAAACACTGTATTTTCTATCTGCATTTGATAGAAAAAAAAAATCCGTGTGTAAGTGGACCCACACAATTCAAAGCAGTGTTGTTCAAGGACCAACTGTATGCTGCATCACCCATGAAGTTTTCTCACCAAAATTTTTTATTTTAAATCTAATCAAGCTTTTTACCTTCCAATTTGCCGGAAATACAGAGGATAGAGGAGGAAGTTAAACTAACATCAAAAGGAAATATACAAATCCAGAATGTAGATTTATCTAATAGTTCTGTGCAATGACTTTACTCTCCCAAATAAATTAATATCATGTAGGGGAAAAGTTGCATGTGGACGGAAAGGGACTGCTCTGCATTAAAAGAGATTATTTAAGAAACATTATGACCAAATGCAGTACATAATCCCTTACTGGATCCTTGTTTAAGTAATTTTTTTTATTTTTATTTTTTTTTTGAGACAGGGTCTCCTTGTCACCCAGGCTGGAGTGCAGTGGCACAATCACAGCTCCCTGCAACCTTGAACTCCTGGGCTCAAAAGATCTTCCAGCCTCAGCCTTTCACATAGCTGAGACTACAAGCGCAAACCACCATGAACAACTAATTTTTTAAAGTTTTTATAGAGATGGGGGTCTTACTTTGTTGCCCAGGCTCGTATCCAATTTCTGGGCTCAAGCCATCCTCCCACTTCAGCCTCCCAAAGTGCTGGAATTATAGGTGTGAGCCACTATGCCTGGCCTAATTTTTTAAAAAGCTATTAAAGTGTTTTGATGGCAACCAGGGAAACCAGAAATTACACAGTATTGAAAAAAATTACCATTAATTTTCTTAAGTGTGATAACAGTATTATGGGTATATACATATGAATGTCCATATATTAGGAGATACACTATAGGAAAGTGTCGTGATATTTAGATACCTCCTGTCAAATAATTCAGCAAAAATACACACATACTAAAGCAAATATGGCAAAATGTTAACTGTTGAATCAAGGTGTTAAATATACATGAGTATTGTTTTATTCTCTCAATTGTTCTGTGTTTAAAATTTTTCATAACAAAATTTAAAGAAAAAAAAGAGGTCTAGGCAAATGCAGCCAAATGTTAAGATTTGAAAAAGCAGAGTGATGGGATCACAGACATTGCTTAGTTTCCTTTTTTTTTTTTGAGACAGATTCTCTCTCTGTCG